GTGGGATATATACAGATGCGAAACAAAACAGTCTCTGTGTGCCCAGCACTTCTATTATCACCAGGTCCCTTTCTGTGACAATAGGAAAAGCCCTGATAATACTCTTCCTCACCACCACAGCAGCCCTGGGTCTTTCTTTTGCTGCAATTATTTGTAGTTCCATCTGAAATCCCGTGATAAGATTTTCCAAATTATAATAAGGCTCATTTAGTGATCCTATGGACATCTTCATAGTGATGAAATCATTTGAGTGCTGTATGTTTGCTATTCTGGTATGATTAAGATTAATATGAGAAAAGATTATATCCTTTGACCTTTTATCCATAGTTTATTCTTTTTGCTGTTTTTTCTTTCTCCCAGATGTAGGAGTTGCAATTTCTATGGGTAGCACTATGATTTGCTTTTAAGGTCCACTTATGTTTTTCATTTGCCGATACACAATTTATACATTAACTTTTATTCTTGCATGTGTCTGTTTTATGACCCGTCTCTGAGCAGTTTGAACATGTCTCTTCTTTTTTTTTTACAATACTTGGAGATGTGGCCGAATCCAAAACATTTGTAACACTGCGTGACTCTAATATATTCCCTCAATCGTATCCTATTCCAGCCTATATTTATTTTCTCTAGATACATTAACTTGTGGAAGGTGTCGGGGTCTGCATCCAGCACCCAATGATTTCCTTCTGTGTGGATAGGGAAACATATCCCTATCTCGGCCGTGTGGAGCATTGGATTTTGTTCTTTAATTTTCGCAATCAAATTCTCTTTGTTTATATCATTAGAGACGTCATAGAGTATAATCCTTGGATTCAACCTTTTTGGCTTAGTACAGTTGAATTTTCCAGCTAGTTTTCCTTCATCTATCTCATTTTTTAACGTTTGAACCTCCTTTTCATTAGTTAACTGGATGATTATGCCCCCTTTCCTTATTTTATTGATTCTTTTCACTCCAATTTTTAGCTTTATTGGATCTATAGTAGTTGTTATTGGGCTCTTTGTCTTGTCAGTATCCTCATCTTCATTTTTTGGATATACTAATAGAACATGTTCCTGTTCATTTTTCTCACTTGGTCTGGCTAGCTCTAACCCTGCCGGATCTGACACTCCCTCCTTAGCTAGAACTCTGCATAAGTGGGTTTAGTTTTGAGCTGCTCTGTCTTTTCATAAAGAAGTCCTCTAAGTTGATTTATAACAGAGTGCTGTGAGGTAATTAGACTAATAAAAGTCCCGGCCAAAGTCGTAATCTTATCTCTCGTTTCACCAGTGAACCTTACTCCTTTTTTGAGATAATCATACTTAGTTGTGCAACAATCTTGAAATCACAAAAATAACACTCAAGATGAATTGATATGACTTAGGGTGAAAATAATTTTGGCAATGTCGAGCATGCATTGTGGACACCGCAACAGTGGTCTTGTGTGATGTTTTCCGACGAGTCCATGCTTAGTTTGCAGTCTGATTCTCGCCGGACTTTCATATCGACAACGCCAGGTACCCGTTACCACCAAGACAACACCATTGAACGACACAGTTACGGTGGTGCAGGATGGCTCTTTCGGGGAGGAATTATTCTTGGTTCCAGAACTGACCTGCATGTTCAGAGTGTAACGATGACAGGCCACATCTATAGGGATGTCATTCTGGAACAACATGTACGTTTGTTTCGGGGAGCCATGGGTGCGGAATTTCTGCTTATGGACGACAACGCCCATCCTCACCGCGCAAACATTGTAGACGAATGCCTTCAATCGGAGGATATCACCCGTATGGACTGGCCAGCATACTCCCCGGACTTGAATCCAATAGAGCATGTGTGGGATATGCTTGGCCGACGAATTGCAGCCCGTCAACCCGCTCCCACCTGTCTACCGGACTTTCGGAGGGCATTGCTTGATGAGAGGTGTAATATTCCCCAAGATCAGATTGATAATTTGATACTCAGCATGCCTAGGCGTTGTACGGCCTGTATTGCATCGTCCGGGAATAGGTTCTTTTTTGAAATTTGCTCCAGGGAGTAAAAATCGCAATTTTTATTAATTATGTCAAACATATAGAATCATTTTTCCTCTTTACCTTTTGTTTAATACATAGACTTTACAAATAAGTCAAATTTGTTTGGCTTCTGTCTCTTTCTGTGCCTGAACTTCATTATCCTTAATTTATGGACATGAGTGTATATATTTTTATTCTTTTGAAGGATGAAGTCAATGAAATGTGGAGGTATCTCATTAAGAATTAAACTGATAAAAATAACAAAGTTACCATCTAAATATGAAAAATAAAGATTAAGAAATACTGCTCTAAAAACATCAGAACCTGCTTAAAAAACAAAATGGAATCTCGTAATTTAGTGACACTTCTTTTTCCTGGAAAAATGATCTGAGGTGTGCAAATTACATAAAGTGTGAACAATCCTTGAATTTTAACAGTTTTCGCGGTTATGATTAGAAGCCTCTTTTTGATTAAGTTCAGCCGTGATATTACAAATTGAAACTTAGGTTTGGCAATGCAAATAACGAAACTGTTGGGTTTTCTGTTTCAGTTTAAAATGTGTCTTATTCTGTTTAAAGAATATTCTTTCACTTATTTTCGAAATTCTTATTTTATGAAACTTTAGATTTATTTATACATACAAATTTTCGTGTATTTGGCGAATACTTTGTATTTTTAAATCTCTTTTGGCTATGTATTAGCTTAATAAACTTTTAATAATGGTTTTTTATTTTACTAGTGATGGTTAGTTGTATTTTTTCTTAACTCGCACTATTGTGTTATATAAAAGCTAATTTGTCCCACTCTCATCAAAAAAAAAAATTTTTTTTTTATTTATTTCTAAGCTTTAATATTCTCTAGGCAAATGTTATCGTAAAGCTGTCTTATGTTATTTTCGAAACCGGGATTTGCTTATATGTATTTTTATCTGTATATGTTTATATAGATTTGATATGTTTGTTTCTTTCTGTGCACATGCTTTTAAGTTGAAATGAATATTTTATATATCTTAGGTTATTAAGCCTTGTCGTGCGTTACTCTTTACTTTATACCCTTTGTTTGTTTAAAATACTTTGTGTAATTTCTGAGATTAAAATATTATCGGATATTCAAGATAACAAACTATTCAAGATAGAATTATAATATTTACTGGACTTTTGAGGCTATATGAGATGAGTCCTAGGCTACCTTGTTTTGTTTGAAAATCTAATTAGAATTTAAAATATTTCAAATTTTTAGTGATCAGGAATTACCCCTTCTCTTGATCCTTTCTGGGGTAATTCCTGATCACTTCTGGGGTAATTACTGATCACCAGTTTTAATCATAAAGGGACTGTTTAAAAATAATTATAAAGTGGTAATTAACAAATAAGAGATCAAGATCAAACAAATGAACCAAAAATATATGTTTAAGCAGCTAATAAAACAATTTATTTAAAAAGCAAAAATAAAGGTTAACACTTTAAATTTTCCAAAAATCTTTGTATTGTGCCATACATTTTAGGCAAGCAGCCAACTCATTCTCATGTTCTGCTGGAATATAAGAAAGAGTTTCCACATGGGTTACTTTTGCTGGATTTTGTAACTTCATTAAAGGAGATTGTAAAGTTAAGTAAGGTATGTCAACAGCTCTGGCAGCAGCTCTCACATTGAAATTTTCATTTTCAATCATTAAAAGAAATTTATTAATTACGAAATTTTAATTACTAGAACTAATTTTGCTTTCTAGAATCTTAGTATCCTTTTTAGGCTTATAATTTCTCACCATATTTATATTATGCTAATTTATAAACTTAAAAATTATTCTAACAATGTACACACATAAAATTAAGATAGAAGCAAGGTACGACAAATCGGAACACATTTGTCTAGCATATGGTTAAAAACAAATTTTCTGATTAAATTGAGTTAAAATATATTTTATAGTCGTTCCACTTGATAAATATGAACTGTTACTTAACCTTCCGTTAGTCGCGCGCACCTCACAGGTGCATCCCTACTGCACTTCCACCACCTTTGCCGTCAATAGATTTTTTCGGGGGTCGAGCCTAATGTTATGTTCCTAACTTTGGATTACTCAAATGTCCGTGTAAAACCGACCTTAGAACATGTCGATAGAGAGTTGGAACCGCTCAAATCACCCCTCTGGTGCAGCGCGACCATTGACGCAAGTATTATGGATATAATATTTTTATGAATTAAATATATATATTTTATCTCATTTTCTGTCCTTCTCAACGTAGCAGGTATAAATGGTCAAGTTATATACACAGAAAATGGTTACGGAGAAAAAAATCGCAGAACCTTCTTGCGTCAATTGGTTGAACATCTTGTGATGGAGGAAGAGATCCGACGCGGGAGCAAGAAAAGTTTATCTTCGGTACTTCGCTAAATAAGTTTTTTGATATTTATCTCTCTAAAGAGTCTTAAATTGGTAACAATTAACTATTTAAACTAGACTAAATTTCATTTGGCTTTGAAAAAATCAGAAACAGGTGCAACGCGATTAACCATGTCGGAAACAAGTGCGCGACTAAAGGAAGGTTAAGAAAAGACAATTAGCTATTTATTAGCTTATTTTAATACTATTTATGAAAAGAAATGACAATGATCAGGAATTACCCCAGTGATCAATAATTATCCCATCTGTAGGGGGCAACATTTGATATAGTTTCCTATAATCAATTATAATGTTTACAGTAGATGTGAAACAATTAAACAAGAGCTTACACTATTTTCATATCAAAGAAAAAGAAAGTAACTTAAAATATTTATTATTAAGAGAAGTAGGGAGATCTTTGCAGAAATGTGCACTTTTTGAAACCCATCTTTGAAATGGAAAATACAGAAAGCAGTTTAAAATATACTTATTTTGTTAGATTAAACAAAAATCTATTATTAAGTAAATGTAGTTATACCTTAGTACAAGCATTCTTGTCCATGTCTCAAATTTAGAAAAAAATTATTTTTTTTAAATAAAACTTTGGTGATCATTATTTACCCCAGAAACAGAGTGATCGTGAATTACCCCGGGTCACCCTATAAAAGAAATTTTTCTTTGACATAGCTTCCTTTGGGGATATTTCTGTATCGGGATCTGTTGCATCAATTACAATCGTCAAGGCACAAATGGGTTTTAAACATGCAAAATTTCTTAACAAAAACATGAAGAGGTTTCTCCAAGGGTGGCTATGCGTTATACCCTTCAAGTTGGTCCCCTTCTGTGTTTTTTTTTTTTTTTAAATTTTTTTTTTTTTTTTTGACTTCTCGTGGACCTTTGCCCGGAAATGAAATGCAAAGATTTGATGATTATTCTGCTGTAGTTTACGATACAGAAATCTTTCCTTTTTTTCAACAGTAATAAGAAGAAAGTGAAATTATTGAATTTTTAAATAAGATGATCATCTTCATATATTAATGTTAGGAAGAAAGAAATTTAAAATTAAAATTTCTATTTTTCCATTGTTTGAAAACTAAAAGTATTTTCATATGTCAGTCTGATGATTAATTACTTTTTATTTAGTTATATGCTCTAATTGTCTTTCTGCTATTATTATGATTTTATCACTCTTAGAAACTGTTTCTCTTTTGCAATTTTGTCCTAAAAATGGGGATTTGTATCAGTATCTGGGCCGAAAAATTCCTGAAATTTTGGCTACCACCGGAGTCTAGGAAAGAAAATTAATGAATCAGTACCAACTAGAAAAATATTAGTCATAGTCATTTCCGGAAATACTATGACACACTTTTTTTTAAATTTTTGCTTTAAAAAATCCGTTGGTGCTATGGCAAAGGTAGTCAGTGCAAACATATACCAATAACAAAATAATGCTTTAAAATTAATCTTACTTATCATCTTTTTTTCTGTATCTATATATAACTTTAAATTTTTTTTTTCTTGTTATAGTTGTCTCACCTCCTGCTTTGATTTATATGGGATTAGATAAGTTTGAAAGTAAGTTTGTTTTGGCAACTATTTTTTTCCAGGCATGCTTTTAATTCTACCTGTGTTTAAAAGTTACACTGTCGTGATATGTAGCCTAACAGCGATTTCATTTTTCCATAGTCTTAGTGTAAGGATTTCACAATCAATATGGATTTAATCAAAAATAAATATCTGTTAGAAATGTTCTAAAATTGCAAACTAATATCAATTTTCTCAGAAAACTAAATTTTTCTCATTTTTAATTGATATTTTTCTACTTAAATATGGCAGGGTAAGACAAGTTTTTGATTCACGAGGGACTGTACAATATAAGCTACGAATCTGCTACAAAATCCAATTTTCAATTTAATGTCTGATTATGGGGATTTAGAGAAACTATGTTCCTGGATAAAACAATGATGTGAAGCAAAAGAAAAATTCATGAGACAAGGAAGCCATGATGCTCAAATGGAAATGTCAAAATTTCTAACTCACATCTGCAAGAGATCTGAAGAGGGAGGGGGTGATTTCTGGCCATACAAATTGATAAGGTCATCAGTGCCGCATGATTGACACTTTGTGTTTCGCTTCGTCCCTCTTCCGAGAGATTTATTTTTAGGATTGGATGGGTCGGCAAACCACATCAGTCGGGTAAAGAGGAAGAGGGGAAGAAAATTCCTGCCATTCTTATTGATGAGGTCACCTCTGTCACATGATCAACGCATATTGTTTCGCTTCCATTCCTATCGTTTTGACTGCAGCCAACTAGCAATTTCGACTTTCTATTTACAACATAATGTTAGTGCTTCTAAAGTTGCAAGTGGGAATTTAGCTCTGACTTTTTATATGAGAAGATTTTTAAGTTCGTTTTCATATGTGATATGCCACTGCCAAAAAAAATTGTTTACGTAAAATGCCTGATTTCTCCTTTATATTGACTAAAATTGGAAGTACAAAGGTGTGACTTGTGCAATGATAATTAAACATTTTAAATATGTTTCTCACAAATGCAACAAGTACAAGAGTGCAGCCCTTCAACCAAAAATTACTGTGACAATTGAAGAAGTAACATATTCTAGCTTATCTATGTTTAGGTGATTGACAATCCATATACAAAAGGAAAAGAGCACACTAAAATCCAAAAACTTTTGTATCAAAATCAGATTTTCCATAAAGTTTGGCAAATTACCATTCAGCCATCAGAAGTTCTGGATGTAATACATCATCCTCATCTACAAGATCTTCATTTTCACTTGTGTCTTCATAGACTAAATTATCTATCGACTATAATTATCTATGGACTAAATTATCTCTCCTATACATATTGTTAAAAGCTGGAAAAGAACTTAAAAGGTCGAAATTTTGATTACTTGACCTTTCAGTTAGTCAAGCTTTTACTGCTATAAAATCTTGTGAATGTGATATTTTATAAAAACTGCTTTTGTAACCTCTACAGGTATTTTCTATTCATTTGTAGATGAGTCATTGATTAAGTGGGGCTTTCCAGAAGATGTGTGGTTTCATGTTGATAACTATTCATCAGCTCATGTTTATTTAAGATTACAAAAAGTAAGATGGTACTTTTATTACTAATTTTTAGAACTAGCTCTTCATTCATCTAGTTTTATAGTGATTCATCTAGTTTTATAGTGAAGCATGTTTTATGTTGAAATATACAGTAGAGAACCATTTATCCGGTATCCAGATAACCGGGAAAAATTTTGCTCGATTTTCCCGCCATTTTTAAACTAGAACGAAAAAAGCGGAAATTGGACTCATCCTTGAGTAGAGGAAAATGTAAGGAAGGGGAAAATTTTTTTCCCCGTTTACCCAGAGAAACGTCATTTCCTCCGTGACCTTGAAGGCAGGGAAGGGAGGAATGTTTTATTTTTTTCTTCTGGCCGTCAATCAAACTCAAGGGTGTGGCATGCTGATTTCGTTTTCTGCTTGATTTACGAGGGGGGTGGGGAAAATGCATTTCATGCATATCAGTGAACAGAAAAAGAAAGGAGAAAAATATATTTATTTGACATCGACTAATAAAAATAAAATCTTTTTCTTTTGAATAAATTCTCATTCTTTGGAAGTGCGGTATCAATTGCAAGTTTTTCTTGGTGTGGAATCACATCTGCTGTAATTAAGAATCTTGTTTTTATCAACAAAAAAAATAAAATAAAAGGAGAATTGTTTATTAATTTAAACATAGGATTATTTTATGAAGCAGATTGAAGTTTTGTTTTTCTGATTCCACTATGTTTGATTTTTTTTTCTTTTCGCGATAAATTTCGCGATCAATAAATTAATTCCTTTTATTCATAAATTTTATCATTAGGTTTTTTTTTTTTTTTTTTTTGAATTCCGTTGATCTTGCCTTGTTCCGGGTTTTAATATTTATGCTAGTGCCTTTTTTAACTTTCGTTTCGTTTCGATAATTTTCAAGTGTTTTTATTTAGATTAATAAGTTTTATTTTATCGTTTCCCCCCCCCCCCCCCNTTTCTTTTTTCTCTTACTTTATGCATTACACTTTTTCCTTGTACTTCGGGTTCGATAAAACATCGATTAACAACACTTTTTGGTCGATCCAGAAAACCGGGAAATTCAGATATCCGGGATAGCGATGGTCCCGAGCATCCCGGATAATTGGTTCTCTACTGTACTAGCCTTTATTATATCTTGTGCATCACTATAATCTTCCTTTGAAAAATCACATTATTGACAACAACAACAAAATCTTGATCTGTGTCTTCCTTTTAAAGCTATGCTGGAATGACAAATGACAACTATCAAGGCTGTAGCCAGGATATTTTTTCGGGGAGGGGGGTATAGTAAGAAGCAATGACAGTTTCAGACATGCAAAGTATGTGAAAAACATTGTAACAAATATTGTTTATTCTGTTGTTTGCAAAACTTAAACTAGTAATTAAAAATATTACATAATACTTATTTTTCAATTAATATTACATAATAATTATAATCAATTTGTAAACAAAGTTTACAAAGACATGCGGCGGGGATTTGAAGAAAATTTTTAGATTACTTTTTTAGGACAAACCAGAATATCCCAAAATATGCTTAATAAAAGATTTGATTCGACAGTTTTTGTTTTTCTTTTTACTGAGAGGCTCAGAGAAAGACTAAAAAGTTTGAATCCCAGAATTTCGGGGGGGGGGATTTGTCCCAACGGTCCCCCCCCCCTGGCTACGGGCCTGACAACTATAAATCTGAAAAAAATATTACTAAATGTATCATAATAATTTTATTCCCATCTTTAAGTTTCTACTAGTTAGTTGCTACCTTAACCACTGAGTACAATACTCACTAAATCTGCTTTGCATAAACTAAATCCAAACATTTTGTGAGCGTTTATTTTAGTTTTATTTTCTATTTTTCTTTCTTTATATAAATGAAAAGCTACTGTCTATTTCTTTTTATAGATCATTTTATTCTTCCTTTACAAGTTAGTTCTTTTTCATAAATTGTTCTTTTTTAAAATTAAAAAGAATTACTCTTCGCTAACTGATACCTGAAGCATCAGTTAAATTTCTTTTCAAAATCATGTGGTTGAAAAATGGGTTAAAATTTCAAATATGAAAAGATAATGTTAAAAATAGTTTATAATCTAGTTACTAGTGAATGTTTTTTAATTATTGTATATTTTAAAGTTTTGAAAATCTCTGGCAGAATATTTGTAATTAGTGAATGTCATATTTCAGAACATTAGATATAATTTTGCTCTGGGACTTTGTATTAAATATTTATATCATCGAAATATTAAATATTTTACTTTTGTTAATTTTATTCTATTAAAAAATCAGCAATTATTTAATACTCATTTTACTATGAAATAATTACGTACTCATTTTAGTTTTTTTTTTTTTTCAGGGTCAAACATTAGATTCTATTCCATTACCTTTATTGCAAGACTGTGCTCAGTTGGTGAAATCTAACAGTATTGTTGGAAATAAAAAGAACAATATAGATATCATATACACTGAATGGTCTAATTTGAAAAAGACAGGTGATATGGAAGTTGGACAAGTTGCTTTCCATAACAGTAAAAACGTACTTATATTCTTAGTTTCTTTATTTGTTTTGTTAGACATCAGCTACTATGCATTTTATCTATAGAAAAATAAACAAGCTTAGAAAACAAAGGAAAAACTGATTGTTACTAGAATTTTTCCCCCCTGCAATTTATTAACAACTCTTTTGTTTATATACCCTATAACTCAAATGTTCATGAGTATGCCTTTCAGACAATGTGCATTTTCAAAATATTGTATCAAGTTTATGATGTAGTTGTAAGCTGGCAAAGTGTAAAGTTTTCAAAAAACTTTGAAATTTTCTTGAAAGATTTCAGAAATTGAAAGATAAAAATTTAAAGTGTATTTTGTTCTGATCCTTTTTTTTTGTGCACTGAAAATATTTTTCAACCTTTTAAAAACAGATGTTTAAATAGTTCTCAAGTAGTTTTTCTCAAAGCACTTATATTGCTTTTTCAATTCCACGGCTATGTAACTAACAGGCAATATATTTTCATTTCTATTGTTAAATAAGAAATGTTTTGCAAAATTAGAAGATAAATTTTTCACAAAAATTCAGCCAATGCTAAAACAGGGTGCATAGCATTTTTAAAAAGTGCTTAAAGGTGCTTATTTTTGATTTACGTTTTTTAAACAGCCATTAAAGATGCTTTTTTTATTTGGGGTTTGTAAAAAGTGCTTAATTTTCTATTTTTAATAAGAGATTTTTTCTTTGCCTTGTGGATTGTCGTTCTAAATTACAAGAAATACATGATTTTCAAAATTTTTCTGCAATATTTATCAGAAACTAGTTATTTTATCTAAATTATGTTAAGTTTTTGAATTTTGCCATGTGATTGGAAACGTGTCAAGGCGACCAAGAAAATGGAGATTGTAAGTTCTTTAAGTTAATACTCGTCTTAGTTTTTCTTTTATTACTCTCTTATTCACCATATTTGATTGAAAAAAATATGCGACTTTCTACTATTTTTAAAACATCTAAATTTTTTGCTTTATCCATACTAAAAATATTGTTAAGGCATTTCCAGACTAATGAATCTATCATTCTCCTGTCACCTATCTTTGTCTTTGCAATGAAATAATAGAAAATGATACTGCCCATGTGAAATATTCCAGACTTTAGTCTTTTCATCTGGACAACGATCTCATAAGCTGAAATGATGCTCTCAATTCTTCTTCCCCGCTGAACATTTCTTTTTGCTTCAAATCAATTTGCTTTCAATTCCTCTTCCTTACAACATTTCCTATCTACGACATTTCCTATCAAGAGATGGAGAGGTATTAGGGGGATAAACCTAATAACTCGAACCAACTGAGGAAGTGACGTAGGACTAAAAGCATACATTCGGTATTATATGAAAAACTTGAATATCTGTGTAAATATTAAAAACATTCATTTCTCTTTAGCTATATCTGAAATTATGTGTATATATAAAACTTTTTCATATATTCTTTTTGTATTAAAAAAATATTTTTTAAAATTTAAATAGTTTTTGTAGATTATTAAATTATTTCTATAACTTTGCAGTTATTCTAAAAACAATTTCTGGCGTTAAACTTTGTTATTAGTATACCCTTACCGTAAGCGGAATTTTTCCACTCCCGAGAATGTCCGCTTATCCGAGGTTTCACTGTATTTTAAAATTATATTTATGTTTAAATAAATATGATTTTTTTTTCAGAGTATCTTCAAAAGCTAATTTTTCAGTTTAAAAAAGTATTTTGGGGTAAAATGTATCGAAATAAGTATCAAAAAGCAAGAAAAGTTTAAACATTTTTGGCTTTTTTGGAATATAAATGAGAGTATAAAAATTAATATTTATGGTGGTAATTTAAAGTGTTTTTGCTATTTATAAAGGAAATGTATTGATATTGAATATAGTTACTTTAAGGAAATTGTTTCTATTTTTCATGAAAAACCTGCCAGATGAAGCCAGAAACTTTCATGAAATGAAATCTCAACTATATCTTTAAATATGCTTATTAAGTTGTACCATTATACTATTTTGGTAATTTTTTTAAATTATATAATATGTCAGTTATATTGTTATTCCCCCTATCATTCTTCTTTTTAAAAAGTGAAATTTAAAAGAAATTTTGTTTTCAGCATCAAAATTACTATTTAGGGCTATAATCAAACAAGTAAATTTTTTTTAGCTATTCTGTAAATTGATAAAATAAGTTTATTTAGTTAAAATATGGTTATTTTATCAAATGACTGATAAAATATATTTATTTTATTTTTATTGATTGAATATGATAATTTTTTAAATTGATAAAAATAAAGATTAAAATGTGTTTACTAGGAAAAAAAAATGTATTAAGTTTATCAATTGTTACAGAAATCATTAAAATCTTTTTTATAGTCTTCTACTGTGTTGTTCCTCTTAAAGGAGTAGCTCAAAATATCCTAAAACAATCTTAATATTTCTAGTATCGAGTTCACCTATTTCCAACCATCCAACCGTATCTCCTACAAAAAGTTTATGTTTGAAAAATTTTTGAATGATGAATTAACTGTTAAACTGAAAAACTAATAAGTTCGAACATCAGTTGATATACAAAATATATATAATCTAATTAATTATTTACTGCTCTCTAATGACAGCTATACTAAAAAAAATATTTTCTAGTTATATATTAGCTTAGCCAAACTGTGCTATTGAGCAGAAAAGTTTTCTTTTACGATTAAATATTTTGCTGAAGAGAAAATTTTTGTTATTTTGATTTTTTAGTTAAATTAAATTGTTAAGACACTTTAGATTAATAATTAATTTAGCATTTTTATGTACAAAAAAGTAGTTCAGTTGCTATTACTTATATTTGATAGAACTTGAAAGCAAATGATACTTACCTTTTTATGTTATAATGTTTAAATTATACTTGAAAATATTTTATAAATTTTTCTATCCAAACTATTGGGTTTATATCAAAGTATCCAATATTTTTGGTATTCAGTTGCTTTCATCATATAATTAATGTTTCATTTAGGTCAGAACAATAAAAGTTGAGAAAAAGAATAATGCTATTGTAAATAGACTGAATAAAACTAAAAGAGAAACATTTCCCTGCTTTCAATCTGAACGAGAAGAAAGAGATCGTTTGGAAAGAGCGGAACAAAAAGTAAAGCAAAAGATTGAAAAAGAAAAGGAAAAGCAAGATGCTTTGAAAAAAGAAGAAGATGCCCAGCTAAGGTACTGCGCAATTTTTTCTACTACCTTTTAATTTTACTGGTGTAGAAAAACTTGCTGTCAAAATGTGTTAAAACTTGCATTTAAAAAAATGAAAATAGGATATTCAAATGTGAATTCGTTGTGAGCCAATTTCTTGCTGTTTCAATGAAATACATCTATTATGATGACGAAAATCTTGCATTGTCTGAAAAAGCTGACTAATTATTTAATGTGTGGCCATTCAAATTTTACAAAAGCACTTAAGTAAGGAGAAGATTGTGATTCGATGACTGTTACTTAATAGTGGTGGAGGAGTATGCGCAATGCTTCGTAAAACACTAAAAGCTCCTTAATGTTCAATTTTTCTTAAATGCAAAAAAAAAAAAAAAAATAGTTGTATACCACTATAATAATTTTGTGAAAAGATTTACATTGATTATGAAATATTTTTTTTAATTAGCATTTATGCTGAAAATGCAGAAAAAATGCAAATTGCAAATGCAAAAAAAATTCTTAAATGCAAAAAAAAAAAAAAAAAAAAAAAAAAAAAAAAAAAAAAAAAAAAAAAAAAAAANATAATAATTTTGTGAAAAGATTTACATTGATTATGAAATATTTTTTTTAATTAGCATTTATCTTGTCTTAACGAAATATTTTTATTTGTCATAGCTCTTGTTGCTAAAAATATTCTAGATTGTAAAAATATGTATTTTTTAAGCTCTAAAGCAAACTTATGGGAAGAAACCCCTGCATCTTTTTTATAGTATCATTATATAATAATCAACTAACAATTTAAACAACATTAAGTTCTTATGTATAATTTTTAAGGACCTTTTATTTGCAAATTTTGCTATGTCTATGTTAGATTAAGCTGCATTTTTACAATAATAGTCTTTGTCTGACTGAGTTGAAATTGCAGAAAAAATTTGATTTATGAAAATAGTGCTGCCAGTTCACTCCATTAATTTAGGTACTGAAACAGCAGATATAAACATTTCCTCACGAAAACTGGGGCTTTTTAGGGTGTGTGACTAGTAAAAGTTTCAAACAAAAATATCAATAATCAAATATTGTTCAATCTAACAATTGGATTTTTTCGCATTAAGATTTTACCATAATAACCGATGAAGCGCAACCCCCTAATTTTGATGAAAATTGATGCGATGTCGAGGGGAGGCAGATAAATGGTACCAAAGAAAATGCAAAGCATTGCTTTAAAAAAATAAACTATATTTGATTGGGCATAATTAAATATGAATCGCAAAAAGTAAAAGTAATTATAGCAAAAGGAAGTAAATATAATTTTTAATTAATAAATCTAACTTTCCTTCTACTGCAATCCTTTATTTTTAAATCTGGGTATAATTTCAGCAAATGCAAATTGGTGAAAAAATAAAAATTTAGTGAAAAAAATATGGAAGACAAAATATTTCATAAAAAGAAAGATAATTTATTTGTATCAACCATACAGTTCATTAATTTTATCTGAGTTTTTTTCTCCGTGTACTTTAATGAAAAATAATTAATACTTTAAATGTTTACATTGAAATAATTTCAACATTGCAGTTTAAATTAAATTCTAAAAAAAAACTAATCTCAGTGACGTGACAACCCATAGAGAACAAAGGCCTACTGTGCCCATCTCAGTTTTCTTGACCTTGGGCTCTGGGGTGCAGGAGCAGATGTTCCGGTTAGGTGATCAGCCAAACGCAGAACCTCCAGTGTTTAGTTCCCAAGTATGCTTGGTACTCATTTATCGACCCACTGAAGGGATGAAAGGCTGAGTCAACCTTGCCCGGACCAAGGATTGAACCCAGGACCTGTGGCACAAGAGCGCGAGGCGCTACCACTCAGCCACCGGGCGTCCCAGAATAAGATCACTGCACTCTTCATTCCTTTCAACAGTAATTTCATTGTCTATAGATCCGACAATAACTTCGACTTATCGAGAATGAAAAATCCCATCTTCGCTTCCATCTAATGCTTTGGAAATACCATAATGCTTAAATGAGTTTGAGATAGTCTCTTCGGAGACGGCCGACATAAAACCGTTCGCATCTTGCCGAGTTGGCTGTTTTAAATTCCCGGCAAGGATCTTCTGTTTATTTCCAATGAAAAGCACCCATTTTCTTCTTAAAGCCCTTTTAAAGGGCGCCATTCACGAAACATCTGCTGGCTGCCAAAGGCTTATGCACCTTGCCAGAATTAAAGCTATATCTGTGTCCAGACTTTCTCATTTTTCAAAAAGACTTCAGGTTCTATGGATTAAAGCCTGAGCCACAATAATTAACCTCCGAACGTTATCCACATTAGGACCCCAAATCCTCGTTATCCAACTTTCCATATGGTTAGCCGTTATCCGTCCATGGACAGAGCAGATAACCTTAATGTTGTCTGGTATTTTTAGGCAATTCTAACAAACAATTTTAAGTACGATTCTAAGAAATGAACTCTCACTTTTAATCCACTTATCTTCCATTCAATTCCACATCCTTTCTATTCACATTTTTCTTTCCCTGTTAGGACACTTCTAAGAGTGACGCCCTCCTCGTTTTACTCAATCTTTCATGTTCAATCAGCCCACCTACCTTAAAAATTTCCCTTTCTTGCCAGTGGGCATACGTACCATTCAACGTGACCTTGACTTACATGCAGCAGGGAGAAAATGTTGACCACATGTGTTGAGGATTACTTCTTCTCTCTTTCCACTGGACTACAAACATCTACACTTTTGTTAGCAATCTTCAATTCAGTTACTGTGGTTGATTAATCCTCTTCTAATTTCCCCACTCATTGCTCTGTTATGGCATAATATTAATCTTCTACCTTAAACATCAAGATAATTACTTCTTAGAAGCCTATTTTGGTTAATCCGACAGGAAAACGAGTTCTAATCTGTTTCTACTGGTCTATATTTTGCATCAGCTCAATGATTTCTTTGTGTAGGTAGCATTTACCTCCAGGATTCAATATTAGGTAGCCTAACTCTGAAAAAACATTTCCATAAATCATTTTGAAATAATTGCTGTTAGCTTTGACAAATAAGTAAGGTATTAGTACTTGATATTTCACTCAATTTTTTTTAAGATTGACAATGAATCCCCTGTTAATCAAAAGTTAAAAGTATTAATTGAAAGAATAATTTTTTTTCCAATTTTGCAGCATTTTGTAGTTTAATACTAAATACTATAATAATACTTAAGTTTAATACTAAATTCTTATTTGTCAATATTTTTCATAAATTGATAGATATTGGTAACTATTCATTACCAATATTTCAGTAACTTTATATAATAATTGTAAAATGATAATGTAGTTTTCTTTTGTAGAAGCTATTCATCTCTAATGCAAGGCCAGATGCATTCAAATCAGGTATAATTTTTTTTTTTACTCTGAAAACAATTTATGTAACAGAACATAATTTATTTAATATTATTTTTTTTATTGTCTTACTGCTTGTATCTCGTTTTTTGTAGCGTTTTTAGAGGCGAATGAAGAATAGGGTAATGTATTGAACAAAACTTCATGTGAAAGCCTTTTTTTCAACATGTAATTAAGCATAAGCTAAAAATATAATTAGAAGTGTCAATGCATAACAGAAACTACACTAGTTAAATACATGCTACTCAACTTCTAAATGAATCAAATGAAAATTTATAGAATTATCTACTAATAAGAAAAAGTCATGCAAAATAGGCAAAAGCCAATTCCATCCGTCTGGGCAAAATATACTATATTGTTAAACTCTATCAGGTATGAGAATCCCCTGCTTTTCCATTTTTGCTTGATTTTTACCCGATTTTTGTATGATTTTCATCTGATTTCCGCTTTTTTTATGTTTAAAAATTTTGGATTATTACGGAAAAACAAAATTTTGAGATACTAAATTTTATAATTGTACAAAAAAATCTCGTTTAATTTTCGCTTCGAAAGATTACTGCAAAAAAAAACATAGAACTTACAACGCTCTAGCATTTTAAAAAAAAAATCTGTTTTGATATAAAATTGTCATGACTAGAGCATGTCATACAGTGATTAATCAAAAGCAGGATTTGAAATTCATGGATTGAATCTATCAAAAAAGAAATGGAGTTTTTAAAAACAATGTGAAAATCCCAAGTAATAACTGATGAAAGTTTCATTGACAAAACCATGTGGACAATAAAATCATTGCAAATTGTGTGCATTGCAAATGTTACTAGGTAGACAAGAAAATCGTATCAAATCCAGAGCCATAAAAAAAAAAATTCTTGAAATGCGTGAATCAAAAATTTCTGTACAAAACAATGCAGTATTAAAAATCAAGATTTTAAAAACCTAGTAAAATTTGTGGCAATAGTGAAAATGCAGTCGATTAAACCACATAGTTTTATGAGTGAATCTTCAATAATTGAGGCATAAGAAAGTTAATCTTCAAATCAGCGATTCGAAATTTCCTGTGTGTGATAATGTCACATTGAAAAAACATTTAAAAACTGTGGTAGTTCGTGATATAACTGACAAAAATACAATGGTATATCCTCGCATGGTTATGGGTGAATCATCAATAATTGAGTGTGTAAAATAGTGATCCTTCAAATGCGCAATTCAAAGTTTGGGTATTAATAATATCTTATTAAAATATTGAGATTGAATATTGAACATGTGAAGATCTATAAAAATGATTGAGAAAACCACATGGATTCGCATTGGAATTGTCACTAATCAAGTGGATTGAGAAATAATTGAACAAAATGCTTGATTCGGAATTCATGGCATGTTATAAAGGCTTTTTAAAATATCGAGAATTTTAAAAACCAAGTGGAAATCTACAACAGTAGCTGCCAAAACGTCAATTTATATATTTTTGTTGAATGAAATTAACTGTCGTCTATTTGTTATTTTTTATTAAATGAGGATGTTTAGTAGTTTTTTTACCTTAAAGACCTATTATCTGGAAAAATCTTATTTTTCGGAATAGCCGAAGTCCCATCAATTCCAGATATGAGACTTTCCCTGTATATTCTGAGAAATTACTTAACTCGCAATACTTAATATAGCTATGAACAAAAAAGTATTTTCAGAAAGTTTAAGAACAGAAATTAACATTTGACTTTCTTTTGGGAGTAGAAAGATATTATTGTACTGTATAGTATTGTAGAAAGATAATTGTTTTGTATAATATTAATTTTACTTTTACTTAAACTTTTTTCTTTAATTGTAAACTGTGTTCTCAATTTTGTAAGCTGTTGGCTTAGAAATTTCAAATATTGATAATTATTAAAAATATGTCAAAAGAACAGGGAAAATAATATTTTAATTTTGTATGCTCAAAAGATTTTTATAAATACTATCTAGAAAGTAGTTTATGAATTCATAAACAAAGCTTGTAACGGACAAGTTTGATAAAAATTACTGACATGCACTGCTAAAATTTGTCAAATAAAAAATTTGTATCTTATCCAAGAGTCTTGCTTAGGTGGGAGACATATCATTTATGAATTAACATATATGTCTGTCAATAGGGAATGGCAAAAGTTAATAATTTTTTTTTAATAATACTGTTTTATTTCTTAACTAATTTATTAAAAATACTTACAATTTTTTATTTCGATATTTATCAAATTAAAAGAATAAGCAGAATAAACATTTTATTATATTGCTTTTTTTAAAGCATCACCATTTTAAAAATAATGAACTTAAATTAGTTTCAAAATGATTAATGCGGAACCAAGTCTTTAAAATACAAGGACCAATTCACTCTAATGTTAGAGTTTTTTTTTTTACTTTTTCTTAAGTTCATAGAATTACATAGTTATTGTCAACTCATCCTGTATTATTTGCCAAATAAGTAACTTTTTATCTACATTAGTAAATTTCTTGAAAATGTTTTAATCCTCTTAACGTTATCACTTGGAAAAAAATTACATTCTGATATTTTCAACTTTTTTCAAGAATTCGAGGGGTTTGGTGGTAGCCAGGTATCCAGCTTAAGTTTTGGAACAGCCGACATATAACTATACCATCTTTAATTTACTTAACTTTCTTATGAAATATAATTTCTTTTTTTTTTCACTTACTACATTTGTGACTGTTTTTTTTTTTCAGGATGATGGTGAAGACTCTGATGACTTTATGTAATTTATTCATTTATCATATAATCATTTATTATATAATCATTTATTCAACATTATTAATTATTAATCATTATTATTATGTAAACATTTAAATCATTGGAAGAAATACATTGGCTTAATCATTTTTATGTAAACATTTTCTGACTGTAAAAATAAAATCATCAGTTTTAATCTAACATTTGACTGTTTTATGCAGCTTTTGGAATGATTCATTGGCAAATAAATTAAATGAAATTCTTTGAACAATTTCTGTCTGTTTTGAAATTTTTATGCAAATCCTTCAATCAGAACTTTATTGATGACACTCAATGTAACTATCATCGTGGTTCAGACTAAAACAAATGCTATAATGTGAGATTGTTATATCATAAGTGCACAAAAATATTAACTCATAGCTAAAAAATACTGGAACAATTTTAACATACCATTGCTTTACTTTAAGAATTTTGCAGCTTACGAAAGAATTGATAATAACTTTTTTTCTAGAATAATATATACATAAAAGTACAATTTGAAATAATACCTCTTATGTGAAAAATGTATCAAAGATAAAAGTCTGCCATTTAAATAACCTGCATCAAGATAATTGCGCTAGCAAAGACCACATATTTTCACTCTAGAATAAACCACACAAGGCGATTGAACTGACATTTCACAAAAAGAGTGAGTGCAATTTTCAAACAAGAAAAGTATGATTTATAAATTCAATGTATCCTTTAACCCCTTGGCATATGAAGACGTCTGCTCCGGACAGCAAATAAATATTTTAAAGTGGTAATTTATCAATTGTGATTCTTGGTTTAATAAATTTAATTTAGTAGATTTTTATCCACCACTGTTTCTAAATAATTCGTAGGCTTATATAATTCACCACTTTATAGTAGTTATGTCATGCTATACCTTTTTAAAAGCAAGCAAAAATAGTCAAATATTTGCAAAATTTAGTTTGTAGTTATTCACCGTCTTTTAATTATTTTAGCTTGTCCGGAGCAGTTAGCATCTCTATCAACATTCTATTGCAAGTTGTTTACAGTGCAATCAAAGATCATTTTTATATCGCGAAATAATATGTCAAGGGGTTGAAAGGAAAGTTACACAAATTATGAATGTCCACCTATGGCGTAGTAAAAGAATTTAGGGAGTCAGGCCACTCTTCCTTAATTCAAAGTGTTATACATATACTGTGTGGTAACATCGAAGAAAATAATGGTTAAAATTATTTCTTAAAAATTTCTCTAAAAACTCTCTAAATCAAATACTTAAATTCTGGTATTGGAATGAACAGTTCAGTGTGAAGGTTTTAAAAAACATTAAAATTACATTATGGACTATTAACATTGGTCATTGGAATAGCAAGTTGGACTTTTACATTGGTGGTTAAATGATAGGGGCACCGTAATGAGCATAGACTGTATTTTGTCAAATCGTTTAATTTTATTTATTATATAATTAGTGATAGATAAATATATTTCCAAATCTTTTTTCATTTCTATTTTTATCTACCAATTATGCTTTCTGAAAACCTAGTGAAAGTTTAAATGAATATTTCTCACAAACACATTTTTTAAAGTTATGTAACAGGGGGACCGAAATTAATTTTTACTAAATTAAATAGCTTAAAATGTATTTCTAGTATAATATTATCTTTGTAAAGTATTTAAGAAATAAAATGGTGAAACTTATTTTATTGTTTATTAAGTAAAAATAGTTGAATAATTATAATTTGCAGATTTCTGAAATGTGCATACGACACATATTTTGACAAGGTTCAGAAGCTTACGGCTGGGCACTAAGCATATATATCAAACTTCAGAAGTTCCCACCCTCTTTTATATGCTGTCTGCAAACCGCCTTGGTTCTTAAGCTTATCTGAGCTTCATCCAAAATTTTAACCTGTACGATCAATTTTAATGTGACTTAATGTGTTTTTGCCTTACCAGAGTTAAGTGGTTTCTGGTCGTGTCTACTATCTCATTCTCACTGTACAGAAAAAAAATTTCTCAGTGGACATATTTCCAACTTTGATAGGGTTAAAAGTATAATAAAATTTTTTATCATAAAATAGGTTAGGTGGTAAAATTTGTATAATTTAGAAAAAATAATAGTAAATAAATATATGTTTAATTCTTTAATGTTGTTCTCGGAAGATTTTTTCTTTAAGCTGATCTTTGAGAGTGGAGAAAATATTATTCTGCATGTTGGACTTAGTCAATTTAGCTATGAGGGTCTTTGAAGAAGACAAAATACTACCTGGCGACCTTTAGAGTATCATTATCCAGAGCCGGGAAAAGGAACCCAGGGCTACAAAATTTGCCTTAAAAATTTTACAGTATCTTTTTTTCTAATATTCTTCAATATTTTTCAAATGAAAACATGTTTAAGTAAAAACAAAGCACACATGCACTTTTTAAACTCATCTTTTCCCTACAGTTTAACACGAGAATGGAAAATATGTTTCTTGTAAATTAATTGATTGAAAAGGGAAAAGAACCATTCATCAAATACACATTTACCATTTTTATTTACAGTTTAAATTTCGTTCTGCATTTTTGATGCTGCCCGTTCCTCTTCATTGCTAGAACTTCCTTTTGTTACTTTGCTACACTTCCTGCAATTAGACCAGACCCTTCTTTTTTCATTGCACTGTGGTGCAAAGGGTACTCTTGTTTTTGTCTTACCTGAAATTTTTCCTAGACAAAGCAACTCATAAGTGAACCTAAAGTTTTTTTTTTTTTTTTTGTGACCATGAAATGAAAAGAGGAACTTTGAAATTTTTTATTGTTAGTTCTACTGAGAGAAGATGCAAGTTCTTTAATTTTGTCATTAGTATTTTAATGTGTGTTTAAAGATGGGTTTTGTTGATATACCGGTAAATGTAATTTTTTTCTTCATTTTATAGCTTTTCCTATAACATTTTTTTAATGACTAAATAAATATGAACAAATAATTTGGTAAAAAAAAAATAAGTATTTCTTGAGCAATATGAAGAAAATGAGTTTTAGAAGTGTTTCCATTATTTTGTCCAGCCCCTGTATATTTGTAAAACAATCCCAGGCTCAAAACTGGGTCCCTCATTTTATTGGTATATATATTTTATTTATTTATTTTATAACCGGCGTTAAACAGCCAAACCAGTTCTGAGTTTGCAATTGCCAGTGTTCAACTCTGTACCCTTGTAATTTTTAACCGAACTCAAAATACAAGAAGACTCCTTGATCAAGCATTTTGACAAACGAGCCTTCGTGGAGGACTTTTTGATGGAACTAACACGCAATTCCATTTCGTAAGGAGATAAACTACAAAAACCTCCTACAGTTATGTTTTTTTTTTTTTTTTTTTTTTCAATTTTTATGAAAGTAGCTCATACGAAAAAGTTGTAAGTGCTGCTTGAAAATGGATTCAATGATCACCTTGCAATTTAAATTAAATTATCATATAAATCTTCTTATTTTCTTTAACACACTTTTTTTAGCTGAATCCATTTTCTTAAACATGCATTTTGACCTATATATCCAGAATAAAAACTCACCGACGCTATGTTTGCAGCGAAATACACTGAAAACTGTGATATAGGCTATACTGGCATATATAGACACTGTCCGTGATATAGACTAAAGGTCACAGCTTTAAAATTTTAATAGATGGTTATGTTTTAAGAGACATCACAGATAGAAAAAAAACTTGCATAAGCTGTTTGACACAACAACAAAAAAATTTCTAATCTAGAAATCGATTTAATTATGAACAAAACTAACCATTGTAATTTAATTTGGGTACTACACTTCATCAAAGCAAAGAAACATTAACTTCAAACTTCTACGGAAGAACGTAAAACATTTTTAAACAAATTACTATAAAAAATATTTTTAAAAAAAACTATTGTAACATTATGTTCGTGATGAATAAATTGTAAAACTTCTGAAAATGACATATTAAAACTTTTTAAAAAAAAATGAATTTTGAGAAGCGAAAAAATAAATGGCAGAAATGGCCACAAACTTCCTGGGTTTTTTTTTTTTTTTTTTTTTTTAAGCGAAGCGGCAAGTTAAGTGTTTTTCTCAGTATAAAACACGTTAATGATCTTTTACTCAATAAACTGCTGCATTAATAACTATTTTTATAACATGTTACATATGCAGAGTTAAATTTATAAGAGAGAATAGAGTAAGTCCAGGTACCTTGATTGCATGGATTAGTTCCATAGGACCATAGGTTTGTTTTATCTTGTCAACTCTCTAATTCTCTCATGTTTTTAAGCTATCCTTATTTATTCTTCATTAGAGCTATGAAAATTATCTTTATACCTGTTAATCATATGTTTACTTAGGTTCATGCCCTAACAAACAATGAGGATTTCATCCAATAGAAGTACTGTTCTTTTTGGTTTCGAAAACCTCTGTTCTCTGGCACCACCGGAGGACCCCTTGATGTTGAGCCCACCAAAGATATATCCAAGGCTGCACGAAGGCTTTACAACCCCTTCTTCAAAGCACAAAAAATCTTATTTTCATATTTTGTAAAATTTTTGAAAACCTTTAATACAAAATCATAGTTTTTAGATCATAGATATAAGGAAATTTCTGTAGTTTTCTTAGAGAAAAAAACCCAATTAATAAGCACTATATTATTTTTAAGGAATTTTGGCGGCGCTCTCAGCATCATTCCCAGCCCCTACCTCTCTCTCTCCTCCTTGAGTACGGCCTTGACTCCATCGCATGTACATTGCAGACATAAATTTATTAAATTGTCTTATAAAAAATAGAAATATCAGCTACTTTTTCACAAAAATTCTAGTATTTCTAAATTTCCCAGAGAATTAACGTGTGCCCCCCATTTTACCCCACTAGTAGGGTAATACTGATCTTCTAAAAATCGAGTGTTAGGTGAAAAATGTATCACGGACTGTTTCAATTTTTTTGCATTTTGCATCGATAGATTTTTCTGAAACTGGCTTGATAAAAGTATTTGCCAACAATATATAAATGGATGTCATATTTTCCAAAAATACTCATGTATGCATAAAAATATTCATAAAAAATTTCGTAAAAATAATTTTTTTTTTTTATTCTGAACAGGTTTAGGTGTTGGTGAAAAATGTATGATGGACATTTTATTAATTTTTTCTAGTGTTTTAGCCGTGGGATAAATTTATGACTGGTTTTATATATGATTACTGGTTTTGTTTGCCAACATTTTTGTGTATACACATTGAAATTTTTATAAACATTTTTTAAAAAAAAATATTA